TATATATAATACAGGGAACTTGTCATTCCCTTTGGCATAACAATACACTTAAGCTTTAAAATGCATTCAAAATAAAAATAACAAAAATGACCACTCCATACTGTTTTGTGTGCACTAAATAATAGCATATTATTACTGAAAATATAGAATTGATCAATATTTGCACAATATTTCAATTGTTCTTACACTGCCACCCATCTACTTTTTCATCAGTGACATTTTTTTCTGTGGAGAACACTGAAAGTTTATAAGGTAATTCAGGAGCTAGCAGGGCATGCTGACACTTGTCTGGTGTAGTCTGCCTGGTGGTATGATGTAAGCCATGATAAAAAGAGCCCTTCTGCAAAAACATGCCTACATTTACAGCTAGGTAAAATGGCAGCGGTCACAAACATACCGCAGTAGCAAAGGCTGCAGTATGTCTACTGTAGTGTCCATGTTTGAACTATACAAAACTTCAAGTGTCAGGTTGGATTTAAATGCTCTTGAGCTCTGGGGGTATATTCCCCAAAATGCGTCAGCTAGCAAGGCAGCTCTGTGTGGGGTCTGCCTTGTACCATTCATTCAGTGATTACCATGCGAGTAATATTTTATGTCGGCTTGTATATTTATTGATCAATAAACTGTATTACACGAGGACAAGGCGCTGTCTGTTTGTTTTGCATGGATTTAAATGCTGTTGGATCCTCAAATTTAATTCAACAGGTGTTATGCTTTATGCAAAACCTGGGAGTCCGTATCCAATCCCAAAATCCTAACCTAAATTCTGCCCCTGTAGTAATGGGGATATAAGCAGGTGGAGCAATGAGTCTCAGGATTTCCATAATCAAGTATATATAGATGTGGACAGATTTGTTGTTACCCTTACAGGTCATTCACAAATGCTTCCTTCCTCCTGCAAATGTATTAAATTACAAGCAATTTTTTCATGTATTCCTTCGTGTTTTTGGCATGTCAAAGTAAAGCAAAGAAAGTGTGAAAACATATAAATTATTATTTTACAAACATATTCCAAAGTGGCTTGGGCAGATTTGTTGGTACCCGTAGGAAAGAATATAAATAACTGGATCATAGTTATATGTTAAACTAAATGTTCTCTGTAATGGATATCAAACGTCTTCAATCTTGTAACCACTATCTAAATGGAGAAAAGCAGTCTGCTGTTTGGTGTAATTGTGTGCACCACACTGAACATGGAACAGAAAAAGCAAAGGAGAGAGTTGTTTGAGAGAATCAGAAAGAAAACGATAGACCAGCATGTCAAAGGTAAAGGCTAAAAGACCATATCCAGGCAGCTTGATGTTCCCCTACTACAGTTGCAAATATTGTATGAATTTTAAGATCCATGGGAGTATAGTCAACTTCCCTTGGCTTGGCCAAAAGATGAAAATTGCTCCCAGATTGAACGGAAGGATAGTGCAAATGCTAGACAAAGAGCCAAGGAATACTTCCAAAGAGATACAAGCCGAACTTCAAGGTCCATCAGTGTCTGATCAAACCATCCATCGCTTTTTGAGGGACAGTGGGCTAAAGAGAACGAAGAACCAGGAGAATGTCTCTGTTTAAAGCAAAATATAAAAAAAGCCAGACTGGAATTTGCTAAAATGTATATTGACAAGCATTAATGCTTCTGGGGAGAATGAGATGTGACAAAACTGGAGTTTTATGGCAAGTTACATCAGCACTATGTCCACAGATAAAACTTTCAAATAAAAGAACACCATTACCTACTGTGAAACATGGAGGCTTGGTTATGTTTTTGGGCTACTAAGCTGTGCCTTGAATCTGTGCAGGGCACAATAAAAACCAACATTATCAAGGAATTCTGGAGCAAAGCGTTTTGCTCAATGTCAAAAAGCTCTGTCCCAGCTGCAGGTCACGGGTCCACCAATCACAGGATAATGACTCAAAACACACACCTAAAAGAACCAAAAATGGCTAATAACATAATAATGGACTATTTTGAAGTGGCCTTCTATAAGCCCTATTTTGCATCTTATCGATCATGTATGGAAAGTGCTGAAACATGCAGTCTGGAGAAGACACCCTTCAAACCTGAGATAGCTGGAGCAGTTTGCTCAAGAAGAGTGGACCAAACTACCTGTTGGTAGGTGCAGAAGCTGATTTGGGAGATACAGAAATCACTTTGTATCTTTGTAGCGACTTCCTAAAGGTTGTACAACTAAATATTGGGTTATGGGTGCCATCAATGTTGTCTATTCCCTTTTTATTTCTTTTATTGAAAATATTCAGTTAAGTCAAAAATCAAATCTGGATTTCTATTAAATATGGTACACTAATGGAGCCAATTACTTTGCTCGGTCAAGTTAATTCAGAGAGGTTTTTGTTTTCTTTTCTATGGAAGGGCACCAACAAATTTGTCTACATCTGTATGTGATAAGGAACATGAGGACCTGGCAGCATAGGACATTGGTGGGCAAAGTTATGAATGAAGGAGAAGATCACTCTTCCAATAGCCGAATCTAATATCATTCTTATGGTGAGAAAGTAATGAAAAAGTTAGCCTCAACAAACCAGGCATGGTGGAATGAGCATATCGGTGTCAGTGACATTCAAGAGCTGTTCCTCTGATTTTACAGACTTCAGTGGTTGCCATTTCTGTGCCATCTTCTTCACTTTTTCATCAATCATACCAGTTTTTCCATCAAATCTGTAGGAAAGAAAATTGAACACATGTCTAAAATGTCTCAGTTTGTTGAAAATCAGAAATAGTATACTGATCATATGAGGAAAAAGCACTAAGCAAAGTAACCAAGCCTGATTGGCCTACAGTGCAGTATGACAGCCACCTATATACTTTACCTTTTCTGAACTTCTTCAAGGAATGATTCTGTATTCTTCTTTTCCATCTCATAAATTGCTCGAAGGATGTGTAAAGGTACATTCTGGGCTTCATGAATAACCTATGTAACACAATTACTTTATTTACATAATCCACAGGAGAGAAAGACATACGATGATATAATAAAGGATATGGAATCAAAATATGAGAACACAGGAGAAAAATCTGCAGTCCTGCCTAAGAAATTCAGACGGCCTTAGCTGCTTGTGACTTTGCATATGGATGATGAGCACTAGTTCCGCATCAATAGATCCCAGTAATATCTGGGTTTTTAAAATTGCTTTTTATAAATTTTTCCACAAGACAATTACATATACATGTCACCAAAGCTGTAGTAACAAAAAAGGTACAGAAGGTATGCAAGTGCACAAGGTATTCCAGTACATGCATAGCAATTCAATATAAAGTACAGACAGGAGGTGATTTAGCCAAAGTTCTAATATTTGGTGTGTCTCAGAAATAGATGTGGATTTTGATTGTACAACTGTAAAGCATTAAAATGGTATTACTAACAAAAAAGAATACACAATTTTCCAGCCACCATGAAGGGTAAATATTTATGAAGGTATCCAAGCTTTAAAATGTAACTATAATATACATAAACTGCAACTGGTACCGTCCCGATCTTAAGGTGTAGGTATTTGTATTGCTACCCGGTCTGAGCATGTAGAGATGTGAGAAGAAATCAAACCATATATCCCAAATTGTGTTACATTTTTTTGTGGGCAACCTCTTGATTTGTAATTTATTGGAGGTAAGGGTTTTATTCACTAATGCAATTAGGGCTGAAACAACCAATTGACTAAATCGATAATAATCAATAATAGAAATCGTTGTCAAAGATTGTTGTGGTTCACCAGCACATTTAAAAGGCATGGGGTTGAAGCCATGCGTTTCATATAATAGAGACACCCTTGCCTGCACAACAGATTAGCTAGCGGCTCATATAAGGAGAGGATGGTGGCTTCAAAGGCTGAACTTGCCAAGTTCGTGTCATGGTGTGCCCACCAGTTTATATACACCAATATACTATGGCTAAATAATATAGGTTTAAGTTGAGGAAAGCCCATCCTCTATTTGTTGTGGCGTTAAAGTTCGGTTAAAGACATCCTTGAACGTTTTAAAGAGTTTCTGTGGAACATAGACTGAAGAGTCATAGAAAACATTTTTCAGGTATATTATCTTAAAAAGATTAATCCTTCCCAACAATTTAAGCAGCAAAGCAAGCCACTGTGTAATTTTTATTCTTTGAAGGACATATTTATTATTAATAGAACAGTCATGGGGAAGTTCTATATTAATGCCCAAATACTTCAAATTAGTTAAACATCTGTGGGGTACAGTCTGGTGGTAACTGAATGGAGTTTGGAAGCCAGAAAATGTACCAAAAGTGCTTATTATGGAAAACAAATTTAGAAGTGAGACATGACGATCAGCCAGGTATACCATCATATTGTCTGCGTACAGCGCCACTTCCCTAGTACCTAGCCTAAGGCCTTGTATATCAGGAGAGATGTGCATCAGCACATAGCAGTTCTATTGCTGGAGTGAAAAGAAGGGGTGCCACAGGACACCCCTGTCTAGTTCCCCTTTTAATAATAAAACCATTTGTGACTCGTGCGTTGATTCACAGTCTTACAGTAGATAAGAATACAGAAGTTTGACCCACCTGATAAAATGAGGAGCAAAACTAAACATTTTTTAAGTGGTATTCTTAGATTGGGCCATTTGACAAAGTCGAAGGCTTTATGTGTATCTAATGAAAGTGCCACGTTAATACCCTCATTATCACGGGGAAGGTGTAGATTTGAAAATAGTCTCCTTATGTTGACATTTGATAAAGCCCATCTGATCTGACCTAATAAGTGGTGGTATACAGTCATTAATTTAAAGGGCCAAAATCCTAGCCCAAATGATACTATCTGTGCTTATGAGGGAAATCGTTCTTTAGGATTTAAGACCTGTAGGGCCTTTTTGAGGGTTTGGGATGAAGACTTTAAGGGCCTCATTGATAATGGAAGTTCACATGTTTCTATGGTGAAACTGTATACCTGCAGCAAGCTCACGGCTAATTTTTCAGCATATTTACTAAACCACTCAATAGGGTAGCCATCTATCCCCAGAGCCTTATTTTTGGAGAATTTCTTGATAGCTAATTATATGTCTTTAATAGACAAAAGGCAAGTCCAGCATTGTTCGCTAAGCCTCAACAGGGACAGGTGTTGGTAACTAAACCTTAAAGTATATACCTGAATTTATAGCCCTGTGCACACACTCCATACCAGCGTCAAGTATGCCACAGGCAACTGCTTTGGAAATGTGCCTGTACAAATATTCCACAAATGATTTAATTCTTTAATTTCGCGCTTCCAGTGGCAAGAACAATATTCTCTTCACTAACAACCTAAAATGACCCTGGGTGAAACGGCAGACCATAATCTTCTACTCTTCAGAGTGTCCTAGGATATTAGAGGGTAACTCCACCAAAAACTGATATTTAACCTTTTGGCTGATGGTGGTAAAACAGTTTGCATATCTTTTGGACTACAGTGGTGAGATGCCTGTATTTGAGTTCTCAGTTCGCCAAGGCCCAACTCTTCCTGTTGAATGATGTTATATTAAATTGTAAAGACTGCATCAGAAGGAGTGCGAACACCTGACAAACTCCAGGGTAGGCAGTGAACAGAGACTGGACTAAAGACTTGCACACAAGAAAGTAACGGTTACAAACGTCGTTTGGAATTTTTCCATGTTTTCTGCAAAAAATAGGATTTTGGTACTCACCGTAAAATCCTTTTCTCTCCGTTCATTGAAGGACACAGGGAACAGATCGAAGGTAATGTACACTGTACATTTATAATGCTGAGGTGAGGTCCAGCATGTGTTTTACTGGATATTAAATTACCCCCTCCCCCCCCCCACCTCCATCATCATGTAAAGAAAATAAATATTTCCTAATGGTTGCAGCAAGTAGCTTATTCTGGAGGCCACAACTCTATCCAACATTTGTCTGTCAGTAATTAAGACAGATCAAATAATATTTAGAAACAGCAGCATACCGGTCATAGATTACAGTTGCAATCTAAGCATTGCAAACACAATGCAACATATATCAGCTTCTACAGAGCCTGTGTTGAGAGGCAAATGCAGCTTGCCGCCAGGTGGATTGCGCATGCATTTTAATGCTCCCAAGATCATTAACCATTCTGTGATAGGTACATTTAACCTCTTCCTGACTTGCATATCATCTCCATCAAAGGTGCATTAACTTGCTTCAATATGCTTTTGATTCTCTGTTGAATTATATAGGCAGAGAAACAGTTCCGACACAAACAAAAGCCCTTCGACTAAGGCCCTTAATGCTTTTGTAATAAATATAATGAGCTTGTCTTACCTGAAAACACGATTTTGTAGCTTCATCTAGACCTTCTAAAGGATTATGCTTTTTCTGAACTACATCAACTGTAGGTGGCTCAGTATCTTGAACTTGCTCTGGCTTTTCAGAAGGTGAATCATTTTTTTCAGCTACAAAAGTTGTCCCTTTCTTTGATGAATACAGCATTATAGACAAGATCTGCATCAGAAAATATTACCAAATGTTACCAAACATGCATTTATCAGATCAAACTCTAATCACACAAAGAAAACTTGTAGAAGTAAATATGATATACCCTAAGCACAAATTACTTTAAAAAAAAAACAACACAACCCTCCATAAAAGCTCACCTAGATGTGTTTTAACTTAATATTGTGATGTGGGCAATTGTGTGGTCAAATACAAAGCAACCAATTAGGTATAAGCCATAAGCAACTTCAAGTTGACAGGCTTATTAAAAGTGAATATCACATTGATCAGCATGGATTTCTGTACCTCACTGATTTTTCATCACTGTATTAAACAACCAAACTACTCGGTCTGACCTACTAAAAAAAAAAAAAAACTCCCTGACCTATGCCATCAATTTGGAGAACACTACTGTTCAGAGATACAGTTTTTGATAGCAATGGATACTGAGTTTGCATATTAGCTAATTGCCATTACAAAGAAGGTAAATAAAAGTTATAATCTTGACAGATGCCTCCTCATTTAAAAACTATATATATTTTTTTTAGTAAGCTGGAGCTGTATTGTTAACAAAAAAATTAAGATTAACTAAGCACTACATGATGGTTATAAAAAGGATATGACCTGTTTAAAGAAAAAACAAAAAGAAGACCCTCTGCCAGCTGATGTACAGCTGCTGCTGGAGGCTACACATATCAACAGTAAGTTCATACAAAGAGTCTGCAAGATATGCACAGCGCAGAGAGGAAAAACATGAACAATGTAGAGAAATGTATTGTTATAATGAAAAAAATATATAGAAATCCTACATTGCTTACAGCACTCTACAAAAATAAGTACTGTATTCTTTTGTGAGGGTTTAGCTCTACTTTGAACAACAGAGTAGTCCCAAACTAATAAACAATGCAATAAGAGAATGTGGTCTAAAGCCAAAAAACCTTTTTATTTATGATCATACTGAAAAGAATTATTTGGTCTTACCTCCAGATCACGAAGAAGCCATGTCTTATTGAAACCAGTGCCTTTGCTACATTTCTTCACCAACAATTTTAGCAAACCCGACTGAATAAAGGCTGTTTGAATTTCTTCAAAGTCATGATTCTGGAAAAATTAATAAATAAATTATCATAAACCCTTTCTCGTGAACTCCATTGAGGCACACAAATTTAGGAATTCTGAAACAGTAGGATTATATGCTGCAGCCTACCAAAAAATGTTAAAAACCAGCCCTCGGGTAACACCACCTCTAACCGCCACACCTCAGTTTTGTGAGCAAGCAGTACATCTCAAATAAAAGACAAATGGAGTTTTTACAGCAAGTACAAAAAGTTCTAATTTTCTTTACTGTCCATTGAAATACTGAAGCAGTTGGGACATATAAAAGCAGTTCAGTTGAGGGCTGGGCAACAGCCACTGACAGATCTAAGATAGAACTTAAAAAGGGCCAATGCCAGAATCTAAGCTAGAAGTGTTGAAGAGCAGGACAGGACAGAGGAACCGCTAAAGACTCTGGGGAGGCCACAGAGGATCAACCTGATGCTCAGGCTAGTAGGCACCAGCAGAAGTTGTGAGGCAAGGCAACCACCAACAGGTTGAGTAATAACTACCGAAAACAGGGAGAACAGACCAATAAAAACAGTCAACAAAGGGAACACTGGAAGGTTTCTCAGCCTCAAAACAAATGCCTAAAAGAAAATTGGATAACAGGTCCGCAAGGCAAGATCAGACAGTTAAGGATGACATAAGGCCCATGCCTTACATTTTTGACCACAGGCATAAAAGAAGAAAGGCTCCAAGGAAAAGAAATGTCTAGGATCGCCATCCAATCTCCTAGGCGATAAGAGACAAGCGGGAAAAACATCAACCACATGCTGGTGCATCAACAGCAGAAATACAGTACAATGAGCAGAGCCTTCCACATAGACAGCTGGTGGTGTCAATAGAACCTGACAGGTAAAAATTCCCTGCAGAGCCTAACTAGCCGATTCAGGACATGGGGATACAAGTATCCTAACCTGCCACGACCCAGAAAAGTGTCCACAGTCAGTGGAGCAAGGGGGGAGGAACCTTAGCCAGAGAGTTAAGATTGATCACAGTAGCAAGGAAGACATTTTGAGGAACTTCCCATAGAGGCTGTAAATCAGCCACCATAGTAGTGTTCCAACATGAGCTGTCTGCTTGGAACACCAAGTCCACCAGACATGGTTTCTTCCTGTCGTGCAAGAGCTAAAGCTCACTCAAGCGAACCATAAGGTTGAGTGTAACTTCCTCACATCATCCTTCAGCCAAAGGTCACCCAGGCCCTTTAGTGCATTTCCAGTCCACATAGAGGAGTTCTTAAAAGACGGTTATAGTGGAATGGTTTGAAGCCACAGAAGCTCTAAAAGACCCAAGGCCTCTAACAGCAGACTGATCTTCCAAATGCAGGATGATGCACGCAGCTTCAATACGGTTTGAAACAACCACTTGTATATCCGAGTCAACTGTAAAAAATGGTGGTGACCTAAAAGCAGCGCCTCCTGGCTGGGATACCAGGAAAACTCACCCAGAACCAATTAGAGAGCTGAGGTAACCTGTAGCAGGACAGTCCTCTGCATGTCTTGTGTGCCTGTGAAAAGACATGTTGCAGCACCTGACAGTCAGCGATTAGGCCCAATGTGAGGCAAAGCCTTAAGTCCTTTTAGCTGGTGCTGATAAAGGTTTCAGACAGCCATAGGTGACCAAGTCACTGTAGCTAGGCAGTGAACTGGAACAGAGGACCAGAGATCCACATGGTACATCAGGAGCAGAAGCAGGAGTAGGATGATGCTTCCTTTAGACTGAATGGCCGGAAAGAGAATGTGGCTGGAGCACACAGAGCTCCACCTTTGGAATATAGTCAGCATTCAATACCTCAGTCTAAATCCTTACCACAGTGAAGACACCAGGAGGCAGGGAAATTGAAAAATGGCACCCAAAAGGTACCAACTTCGAGGTAGCTCCCGATGCTTCAGCACAACTTCACTAAGTGAATCTTCAGAGACAGGCCCTACCAGGTCACATTTCTTGATCTCTCCAAGTCCAGAGGCCTACTCAATAGTCTGGCTTTTTCACAGCAGAGCTGAGGGAAAGGAGGCCAACCTCCTGAGACATGACGGTTAAGAGCGGCATTATATTGGAGCTGGCCATCAATGGTTTGTTCTGTTTGTCAGTGTCCTATACTGTAGGTTTTAGACACTGTAGGTGGCAATATATAACCCAACTGCTTTACAATCTCTATCCCGCTTAATAAACAATATGAAAAAAAATAAGCTAACCAACTTTTTATGTTTTGATTGTAGCATCAACCAAAACAAATTAAATGACTAAAGAGGTTTCACAACACTGTAATTTAATAACTATGTGTCATAGTGTACATTCAACATCTCATCTATTATTTAGCAAAACAGAGTGATGTGTATAGTGGAGTAGCTGACAGCAGCAGAAGCAGACAAAGTCAATGATGGTGGCAGGTTCCCTTAAAGGAAACGTGCTGAGAGAAACTGTAGGCTGCCCATTTCAGACTCTGGCTTCTAAATATGCTAGATCCCCGTCTATCATGCTGATCATATGTCTTCAATATTTACTCAATATAATATATTCACTAACCTGGAACAAGCATGCAGATCAGGAACTGTTGCAGGCTTGTTCTGGGCCAGTGGCTCAGAAAGTCATGAAGTCAGAAACGGCAGCAAGGGTAAGTAATGGCAGCCAAAATATTGCTTCCAGCACTAGCTTAATTTATAGCCAGATGGAGCTAAACCATAGGACATATTTTAAGATTGCTTTGTGGCTTTGGATTAGATTAATGCAGTGGCATGACATCAATGTAAAGCAAAGGAGGCAACTGATATCACGCTAATAGTTAATAACACTTTCATGCTGTACTAATGCACTCCCACAGCTTTCATCTTCACTGTATAGAGCACGAAGTTATACCATTACTGCGTCTTTTCCTCAGATTTTCAGTTTAGTTTTTCCCCCTAATTTCAATGAAATAATTTATACAAAAGAACACTAAATAAGAATTACATAAAATAGTCTCCGGCAATTCCCTGAAAATGGTTGGAGAAACGACACCCTCTTACAGACATTCTCCCGATTACACAAATATGTATGAGTCACCAAATGGAGGAACAGAATTGTATACATAAAGATAAATTAAATAGTCCAGGTGTTCCCTGACAAGCTGATGATAATTATAATGTAATATGCACAGAGAATAAATATGTAATTTTAAAGAACAGTATTTCACATTATCTGCCAGTACTATTGGATAATAAATGAATGAATTACTGTCCAATGAATATTTACACATTCATTTCCATATGTCTTAAAAGAACAGAGTGAACCATGTACAGTATGTGATTATAGGCTGCTAGCCATATAATATACCACCATATAATATATGAAGAACAAGACAATTCCCATGAACAATTGCACTATAATGCAGCCCAGGAGCCAATAAAAATTGCTAAATTGTATTTCAAAAAGATAGAAATGATGGGAATTGGTCACAAATTGCACACACAGGCTGTTACAAATTAAATGTACTATGTTTAAAATCTGTTTATTTCTATACTCTGATAAACTGTGACTTACAAGCTTATCAATAAAATACTGCACTAGGTAAAGCAATAAGTGCAAAGTACAGAAAGAATCATCATTGTGTGGATACTGGGGATGGCACTCTTTTCTGCAAATGGGAAAATGTAAGGCGTTGCAGTGAAGTAGCATTTCATAACACTGCAGGCTCTTCCCTATACAACAATTTAAAGCAATGCAAGTGACATGATAGCCGAAACAGGACTTTTGTCTTACTTGTGAAATCCATTTCTTGGAGTATATCACAGGAGTTACATTCTTTAACCACTGGGTTATGCAGCTACCTTTAGGTGACTGGACACTAGCAATTTAATCAAAAGCTGCAGGGCACCCCTGCATATCACCTCCCATTTCCAGCCCGCCTGAGTTTTCCAGCAAACAGAACAGAGTAAATCCCAGTAAACAGAGGGGAGGTCACATGTCCTGTGATGTATTCGAACAAATGGATTTTGCAGGTAAGACAAAAATCTGTTTTCTTGATTTTATAAGACACAGGGAGTTAAATTCTTTAACCCTGGGATGTTCAAAAGCAGTCCAACAGAGGGTCTGGAGACACTTAAAAAACAGCTAAACAGCCTCAAGGAACAAAGAACTGAAACAAAGTCAAAGGGCCGTCTGAACATCCACCTGGTGGAACATGACAAAAATGTGAACGAAGGACAAGGTGGCAGCCTTACAGATTTGGAAAACCAAAGTCTGATGCTGAAAAGGCCAAGAAGCACCAACGCTTCTAGAGGAAAGAATGACTGGAAAGGGGGGAGCTTTCCCCTTCAGCATATAAGCCTAAGAGATAGTCCAATGAATCCACCACGCAATGCAGGAGCAGGAGGCGAGTTGCCCCATACAGGAACCCACAGCATAGACAAACTATGGGGATCTCCTGGGACTGACGGATCCTGATCGCTGCTAGAGGTGTCCCAGTGGTTTACAGCACAAGGAAAACCTACTAGAAGAGTCATGCAAAACAATTAGGGAAAATAGTGAAAAAAAGCTTTTTTTCAAGAGAAGGCGCCCATCACCTAAGGACAATTGCAAAAACCTGAGCAGGCTGGGAGGGGGAGGGGCTATGCAGCTTTGATTGATTTGAGTCCAATCACTTAAAAAGGTAGCTGCATAACCCAGTGGTTAAAAAATGTAACTCCCTGTGTCCTGTGAGGTAAGATCAAGAAATATAAGTTTCTGATCATATCTGAAAATATATCCCTTCCTTGTTATGTCATATCAACAAAGAACAGCGTGTTGCATTAAAAGAGTCATTCACATTAAAAATAAACCATTCCTAGAGAGGCTGACATTGTTGACTCATCATTTAGCAAATGCTAGTTGCCTGGCTGTCATGTTGATGGTCTAATTTCAATACTAGGTGAATGCAGACAAGGAATTCAGGGTTTTTTTCAGACTTTGCAAATATACATACTTAATCTATATCAAGGACTCAAAGTAAAAGGGAGTCAGGATAACAACCAGGCACCTGGAATTTTTAAAAGGTTGCCAATAATGGCAGTCCCAATATTTCTTTCAGGAAAGGTTTACTGTAATGCACAATTAATGTGGGTTCCTCTGCATTTTAGAGCCCATGGTCTGTTAGAGCTAAGTTTACAGCAATCTAAAAGAAAGTTTCATGCAGCATTTTGAATGAGCTCATATAGAGAGAGCAGGTAAGGGTACCTTTGGTAAGAAGATTTTCACTTTACTATGGCAGGTGTGAAAATTATGGGCCCATACCTTTGCCATATAAACAAAAATGAAGTGGAAATGACTTCTGTGCTGCAGTACTAAATATAAGCTGCAGTATATTTGTATGAGCCACACAATTAACAAGAAATTGTTCTTATAGTAGTCTTGGATATGCACAACTGCAAATTATTATGCACTGTTCCTTTAAGAGCTTACAGTATGCCTTAGTGGTTCCCTGGGGATTGCTTTTGAAATCTCATATAAGACCAAGAATACTAACTATAATGCATTATAATCCAAGGCTATTAATATTTAACTGCAGACAGAATGGAGCACAGCAAAGTATTACCTTACATTGCTATTTAAACAACACACTATTTACAGCATTACCGGCTTATGCCGAGGTCTTTTTTTTAACGAGCGCCGCAGTTTCCATTTAAACACAGCTGCATGTGTTCTAATAGAAAACACAGGGTTTGACAAGGCTGCATTTAACCTGCTTTGACTGCAGTTCAAATCACCTAAAGGGTTCATGCACCATGGCGTCTGGGGCTGTGTAAAATTCAGGCATATTGCACTGCCCGCGAGCCGACCATACTCAGTGGCATGCAAAAGTATTCACCCCCTTGGCATTTTTCCTATTTTGTTGCATTACCACCTGGAATTAAAATGGATTTTTATTTGGATTACATGCAATTGACATACACAAAATAATTCAAAACCGTGAAGTGAAATCAAGAAAATAACTTTTAAAAAAATTATGAAAAACATAAAATGGAAAAGTGGTGTGTCCATATGTATTTACCCCTTTGCTATAAAGCCCATACATAAGATAATGGTGCAACCAATTACCTTCAGGAGTCACATAATTAGTGACATAATTAGCGGCACCATGAAGACCAAGGAACTCTCCAAAACAGGTCAGGAACAAACTTGTGGAGAAATACAGATCAGGGTTGGGTTATAAAAAAAATATCTGAAACTTTGAACATCCCAGGGAGCAACATTAAATCCATTATTAAAAAATGGAAAGAATATGGAGAGGGCCGCCCACCATGGACCAGGCAAGGAGGCATTAATCAAAGTGGCAACAAAGAGACCAAAGAACCCTAAAGGGAGCTGCAAAGCGGAGATCGGACTATCTGTCCATAGAACCACTTTAAGCTGTACACTCCACAGAGCTGGCCTTCATGGAAGAGTGGCCAGAAAAAAGCCATTTTGCTTACAGAAAAAAAGTTCCTTCTTCCCAAGCATATGGAAGAAGGAACTCTGGTCAGATGAAAATAAAAATTGGGCTTTTTGGCCTTCAAGGAAAATGCTATGTCTCCAAGGCCTCTTATCACCCCGAGGACACCATCCCCACAGTGAAGCAAGTTGGTGGCAGCATAATGATGTTGGGATGATTTTCATCGGCAGGGACTGGCAAGCTGGTCGGAATTGAAGGAATGATGGATGGTGCTAAAAACAGGGAAATTCTTGAGGGAAACTTGTTTGTCTGCCAGAGATTTGAGACTGGGATGGAGGTGCTTAGGGACTATGACCCTAAGCATACTGCTAAAGCAGCACTCGAGTGGTTTAAGGGGAAACATTTAAATGTCTTGCAATGGCTTAGTCAAAGCCCATACCTCAATCCAATTGAGAATCTATGGCAGGACCTAAAAAGTGCTGTACACCAGCGAAACCTATCCAACTTGAAGGAGCTGAAATCCCATTGGCTAGATGTGTCAAGCTTACAGAGACGTACCCCAAGAGAAGTCCAGCTGTAACTGCTGCAAAAGGTGGCTCAACAAAGTATTTGGAGGGTAGTTATGCACGCTCAAGATTTCTGTTTTTTTCCTTAATATTTCTTATTTCTTGCATGTATCATAATAAAAAATATTTTGCATCTTCAAAGTGGTAGGTATGTTGTGTAAATCAAATGCTACAAGCCCCCCAGAAATCCATTTTAATTCCATGTGGTAATGCAACAAAATAGGAAAAATGCCAATGGGGGGGGGGGGGGGGGGGATACTTTTTTAGGCGTCACTCACTTGGACGTAAACGAGATAACTATAACCAGTAAGGTATTTCAGCTGATAAAACTGATGGAAGCAATGCACCATCTACCCTACAGGCAAAGGCTAACATTATAGGGGTGACTCAGTTACAGGTGGTAAAAACATCATTCTGAGTCACTTGGACTGTGTATATTACGAACCTGTATATCAACCATAACACTATCCAAAAGCATCTTTTGAAATATTTTGTGGTACATGGTCTGTTATCTGTATTCACAGATTTTGTTAATACTCTTGCGTACAACAAACCTAAAAGTGGATATTTGTTTAGTGTACTTTACATATTGTTCAAAGATCATTACCTTAAGAGTTTTATATAATCCTTTCAGAGCTAGGGACAAGACCCACGTAGCTTCAGCTGCCTCCGCACAGCTGTTGTCCAGGTTCCGCTGTAGAAGGTTACTGGTAATGGAGGCAAAGTGCTGAAGATATTTCTTAAGATTTACTTCTGGGTCTTGACTTTTGCAGTCCTTGCTTTGCATCAGCTGGTAATCTTTCACTAGAAGAGTTTGATTGAACTACAAGTTAGGTCAATTTTGATTTCTAAACATTTAAACTAAAATTCAACTGTAATATATTTTAAAGAGTATGCTGGGGCAAAAATACATTCAGTTCAGCTCTTAAAAAAAAAACTGCACGTACAGAAATAAATCTGCCAGAAAAGCAACATTTTCAAAGTAAATATTGGACATTGACTCTTTTTTTTTTTTTAAAGGACATGGGCATTGTTTTTTTTTTTTTTTTTTTTTTTAAGTAAAAGCACTCCTCCCCCAGACTCTGCAATCAAAAGAACAGATCACCATTACTTAGGTGCTTAAATACAGCACATTTTCACTGGGTGCCCTGTCCAGGACTGGCACATTCATTATTCCATCCCACCTATTTAGTGAACATACAGCCCAGCTAATGCACCAGGTGGCAGGTGGGGAACTCCCTTACAAAATACCAATATACTTTAGTCCATGTTAAGACAGGGACTCATTCTCAGTGGCAGTTTCCATCCTCACCCTACGCTTGTGATGGACTGTAGATTCACAATTTAGCTTTGGTAGAGTAAAGGTTACATTAGCAAGTTCTATGATGTTTAGTACAGCAAATACCAAGGTGTTGGTAATTTTGTAAGGAAAGTACTCTTATTTTAGTAATGATTATGGAGATTTCCAAGAAAAATGACTGTGACCCTTGTGTATAGGAATGGTTCTTATCTACTACAGATTTTTCCTAAGCAACCACCTTATAAACTGTAGTCCAACAAGGGAAAACAGTGATTTTCATACAGAAACATTTTATTTCATAGCCTTGTTTCTCAGTTTCAGAAAAATCTGAAACTACACCACACCAGAAGTTACATAGAGAGGTTCAACAAACATAAGAGTTTTACTTTACCTGGAAATTCATTTTAAAACATATCTAAACCTAAAAACAAACATTTAATACATTGCAGTTTACCAGTCCTAAGATAAAGTGGCTGCATTCGTTTTTACTTTTCAGGCTAAGAACATTTTCAGCAAGTACAGAAAATACATGTTGATCTTGCCAGAAGTGCCAGCATCCTTGTCACCTCCTGTGAGCTTAAAGGAAGCACAAACATCCTTATCTTTATTATGCAAACTTCTAGTTCCATCAATACACCGTGTAATGGAGAGGAACAAAGGCAGGAATGTTTGAAATTCAAACATAGCTACAATGGAGAAATTAGTGTAGACAATAATAGACCGTTATTGTGTTTTTGGTGAAAATAAAAGGGGAAAAAGACTGAACAAAAGAAAACTAGTAAATTGCAATATATTACGTTTTTGTTTTTCGGGTTTAGAAACACTTTAAAGCTCTGTGCACACAGCTATCAATATAGTGCTTGGTGCACATTATAAGCACCTTCCAGCATCAGACTGCAAGACTGTGTCAAATGGGCCCAGAGCAATGATGTACTTGAAACACTACTGCACCCAGCACCAATGTGAACAAGCTTTGCTAGAGACAAATGTAGTTGCACAAAGTACAAGAAACCAAAGTCAACAGAAATGTACATACCAGTTTTCCTCTTTCGTGTTTTGAGGTCAACAACTACAGCTCTATTTTTCTCAGTGAAATGTTTTAATATGACAACATCATGAGGTTCTTTGGCATTATCAACATACACAGACCTTGTTCCCATACAGAGTACCTATAATTAGGCATAAAATAAGAAAACAATGCACAGAGGCGTTAAAGGTCATCAGTCATTAAAGGGATATACAGCCTTTTCATATGCACTCACATTAGAAATTACTTTAAAGAGGCTGACTGGTTCCTGAATAAGCAAAGACAAACCTCCCTACCCATAGGTACTTGCTTTCCCTGTGCACCCCCCACACAAGGGAACCAGGAGCCCTACGGGCTCGTTCACACCCGATTCTGGCCAAAACGCACTGCATTGTGGTCGGCTCACTATGTTGTGGGGCAGGAGGGGGTGTGGAGGCCCATTGAAGTGAATAGCACCGTTGCCACGCCCTCTGGCCGCACGGGATCGCAAGGCAAATTATGCCTGCGGTCTGGTCCGTTAAAAATAGTGCTTGCAGCATTTTGTTCGGACCGGACTGCAGGCATAATATGCCTTGCAATCCCGTGCGGCCGATCGCATTGCGGGTGGAGGGCTAGGTTGCCATTCACTTTAATTGACCGCCACGCCCCCTCTTGCCCCACAACATAGTGAGCCGGCTGCAATTCAATGCAGTGCGTTCTGGCCAGAATCGGGCCGGAACGCACTGTATCTGGTGTGAACAAGGCTTAACTCTAAATAGGCTTTGTATTGCCGCTTACACTGGGCAACTTTTTCCTCCTTCTTGTCAGATGACAATTGTCAGGTCTGGTATTTGGCTACTTAGGCCCAGGCACTGCACCCTTGGAGGAGGTCACATGCTCGATAATACCCAGAAGCTCAAGGTATTTACCGAAAGCTACAACAAAGGAAAAGAGCAGCAAGGGAGTAGGTGGTTATCAGTGTGTGGGGTCTTTTCTTAAAAGAGAACCAGTTACTTACAATCACCCTGGCTTGCCCTTTTATGGAAATCAGACTCGGCTTCCATGGTCATTGGCTCTATGATCATCACCTCCTGCCTTGCGCTTTAGTTTTGTCCCATCACTGTGATGAGCAGCCTTTTTAACAAATAGGCAGGAGGGGTGGGCAAGACATAGTAAATGCAGAGCCTATTTGCTGTTCACAAAACAGAGTCACCTAGGTTTCAAGGGTCCTTGGGCATGCTACAAGAGATCCATACCCAACATGAAGTCATATGAAGATGCCCGATATTTGGGGTACGTGTCACTTTCCTTTTCCATAATAGACAGAATGTCTGTTTTTGCTGCTATCCTAACTGAATACCCTATGGCCTCCTTGACAACAAAGAAAAGCTAACTCTGATCACTTGAAGTTCTTTTGACCAGAGGATTTCAAATTGTTCCAACCAAATGTGTACACAGAGTGCTGAGTCTCTTATCTTCTTTACTGCAGATTGAGAGGGTCCTTCTTTTAGGTGTCCATGTTGCGGTCTTACGAACTAGTACACTTTCTGCTGGCTGTCCAGAGATAGGGTGCTCTCAGGTCCTGAAGACTGCAGTGTTGTGATGACTTCACAATGAGGGGACCGGTCATCAGAAATCAATCTCTCAACACATCTCCAAAAAACTCTCTAAGACAACATTTTTATGAGATAGATAACCTACATCTTAGGATGAAATCCATAGATGGGCATATGTTTCCTTAAGGCAGGTGGAAAAGATCTTTGATGTTAGAAGAAGTGTTTGTTACTCCTAAGGAGCCCAATCCTAGCCTGTATGTTGCTTGTGGCCAGGGTCACCTTATAGCCACCCTTATTCATATTAGATTATCTTCATGAAAAAAACCCATGTAAATCATTACTAACTCTATTACATGAGATTACATGAAAGATATAAATAAAAGGGTACTTCCATTTTGTGTTCACTGGGCAATAAGCATCCCCCTTCTCTAGCTATGTATGGGGAAGTCTGAGTCTCAAACTCCATCATGCCCAGACAAATAATTAGGAATTCTTGCTGGCTGCTCACCACACATTTTGTTATCCCCTCTAGGAATAAGGATTGAGAATTAAAATAATTGTTAATCATCATACCTCAGGAAACCCAACCAAGACTAATAAAGTGAAGATATTGCTGTTTTTCAACTGATCAGGCAATTGTTGCATACAGTGGTCTGTGAACGCAGTCATCACTTTCTGCCATTTTGGAGAACTATTTAACTCCCGCAGGATGTCAGACATAGCAGACGCCCAATCAAGACCAACTTTGCTGTAACAAAAAAAACACACATCAGCACATTTCTCTGTTAACTATATCCACACATGCTAATGATCTTAGTTCGAAGTGATGATTTTTAGCTTTAATGAGAAAAAGCCACAGTGCAGAAAGGTTGTCAGAATGAGAGATAATTAAATACACACCTGTCTAGACATATAGCTCCGAGAGTGAACAGCAGCTGAGTTGTAATCCAGCCATGTGGCAAAGAGCTCCCATCACCTGCTACTTGCATGATGTGATTGGAAAACAGGACATTTCTCACAGCATCATCTACCTCAGCTGGGTTTAATCTGACGATCAACTGACCCAGAAGGCCCAATGTTAAATGATAGGATTCATTAAGGTGGCCAGCATTGGTGATAACTACTTGAAACATCAGTGGTAGCACTTGAGGCAGGTTCCTAATGGAACTCACTGCATCCTGCAAGAGAGGGAAGAATATCCATTTCACTGCCATTGATTCTTTTACTTATGAAACACTTGCTTTGGATTTCAACAGAAAACAGAATTCCTGTCGTTAATTTGTAAAGTTATGCTGCAATGCATGTACGTTGGCAAAGTCCATCGGGGTACCCTTAAGAATATATGGCACGGCAGCACACTAACACACAGAGCGCTGCTGCAACCCAACAGTGTGAACCTAGCCTAATATCAAAAAGATGGAATATTTATTTATTGCCATTGTGAAAATAATTTCACAGGTTCTATGGAAATAAAGTAAGAGATCCACCTTTATTGCAAACATTAAGTAGGGAAAAAAATATTACTCTCCATACAGTATACAACAAAGCAAAATACCCCAACCTGTCCGTCTATCTCCTACTCTGACTGTCTTTAGGCGATCCCTAAAGACTCATCTCTTCAAGGAAGCCTATCCCACCCTCAACCCAACCACTGAACCATCACATTTTCAAACAATTCCTCCCCTAACAGCTACCTCCTTATGTATCACTTGCCTCTCCCTTTTAGATTGTAAGCTCTCACATGCAGGGCCCTTCTTATCATCTTGTCTTAAATTGTATTGTAATGTCTTCCTTAAGGTGGCCATACACTTTACAACCATCGCAAGACCTTAGTCTTGCGATGGTTGTAAAGTAATTTAAAAAACGTACGATCTGCCCATCTTGGACATGGCGGGCTTCGATGACCGCAATGCTGAACGGGCAGTGTGCGCGTGCGCACACCAGACCGTTCGGCATTTGTCTCCCGAGCATGCCACAAACCTTGCGATTTTCGGCTGGTTCTCGAACATGCTCCTTAGACAAAAGTCGCACGCCTTCCATACACTGCACGCCTTCCATACACTGCACGATCGCGGGATTTCCCGCGATTCTCGTACGAGAATCGTGCAGTGTATGGGCACCTTTATATTGTAAAGCGCTGTGCAAACTGTTGCCGCTATATAAACCCTGTATAATAATTTGTGCGCTGTGTTGTTGTGTGATGCAGGCATATATTTAATCGCAATGCGTTCCAACGTTTTACCATACGTTATCACACAGTTAAATTAATGTTATTTTAAAAAGTAAAAAAAAAATTTAAATCAAGCATTGCGATAATCATTTACAAAGAACAGTCAAACGGACACTTCTGCTATAAGCTTATGGTTCCTGAAGCAACCATGAGCTTATAGCAGAAGGCTGAATGCAGCCACCGTATGCCTTACATCGATGGCAGGAAAAAGGTTAAAAGAGGGGAGGGGGGAATGTAATTATTAGTGGGTGAGGTTTTCAAGAAAACCTGTCACATTGCCCTGTGTGAGCAAAGTGGCAAAGCCTATTTAATATTTGAAATTCGGGGACTTACTGGTTTTAAAGGAGGCAACATGGCTGCTATTAGTCCTAATATACGTTCCTGAGAGCATTCAGCAAACACTTGGTCTGGGCTTAGGACTGTAGCTTTGTCAACAATATGTTTCTTGGACATGTCTCCAGCAACTACAGGGTTAGGGAAAGAAAAACAGAAAATAAAAAGAATTATCACTAAACAAATTGGTCAATTAGTGCAAATACACACAAAAACCCCCCACAATCCCCCCCCCATCCCAAAGTAAAAAAAAGGTAAATGGTTAACTAACATAAATATCGCTCTGTAGGGCTTTCTCCTTCTTCTTCACCTTCTGCACAGCATTGCTTCTGCGAAGTGAAAAAATTCACATCAGTAACAGGTCTACCCTGCAGAAAACCTAAAATACAAACTACCTAACATATAAGGGCTAATAAAAACTTGAGCAAAGAAAAGTGAAAGTGATACAAAGAGGAACCAAACACATTGCACGTCTTATTTTTCTAGTGCAGGTTACAGGATGAAGCCAGAACCTAACAAGATGCTCAGGGCACCAGGCTTCATTTGTCTTTAGCTCTCTTTTCACGATATATATATATAGCCCTATATATATATATAGGGCTTGAAAAATTTGGCGGTGTCTCACCAGTCAGTCACAAATGTCACCAGTCAGCATGACCAGACTATAGCCTTGTAATATATGTTAAAAATTTTTTGGGGCAGATAGAGCTTTCTTTTGTGACCCCACGGGGGGTTACTTGTTTTTACTTTATAATGAAAAAAGTACAACATAAAATTCGGGGTCACGTCGTGTAAATAGACACCAAACATGTCAAGCCTTAAAATTGCGTGCGCCCGCAAAATCGCAAAAAACACCCGTACGCGACAATTAAAATGCTTTTACTGCTCATCAGTTTAGTGTTATCAGTGATTGATGGCTCTAGAATTATTGCTCTCACTCCGACATTTGCGGCGATATGTAACATGTGCGGCACAATAGGCGCAATCGTCGTTTTCGCATGTAGGCTCACCCGACGCATATCTACGTGTGTATGTGGGGGCGGGGGGACTTAAAAAAAAGTTGATTCTTTAATTTTTATATTACTTTTTTTTTTTTACACACAACTTTATTGCCATTACATGGGAGGCTAAGAAACCCCCTATGGGATAGCCAATTTACATGACAGGTCCTCTTAATGGAGACATCAGTGGTCTCCAACACCCCTAAAGTCACCTAGGAACCCCCAGAGAAGCTGATGAAGCAGAGATGGGCTTCATCAGCTTCTGGAGCTGGAGAGTGACAACAAAAGGAACACGGAGGGCGCAACAGCAAACACAACAATAAAGCACTAGCTAATTGGACTGAAATATATATAAAAAACAGGGGGTCAATCTGGTGGTACAGAATCAATGGCAGAGAATAAATGTGATGGCAATAACGTGTAGATCCAGGGATCAGAAGATGGGCGGCCTGTGCAGAGGATCAGGATCAAAACCTCTCTGCCGCCTTCCGGGTCTTACGGGTGTCCAGTCGGAGATCCGGTGACGTCACGCACATCGACGTCACCAGACTCCTCCCCCCTTCCCCAAGTGGCTCCGTCGGCTAACTAAGGGAAGGGGGGAGGAGTGCTGGTGTTTTCACTTTCCACATTGTACTTGCACGGTGCCATCCGTGACTGTCACTACAAGCACCATCTTCTGTATAGGCCCGGACTGCTGCAAGGTGTGCGGAGGATTCTCCTACCTATTCACTTCTATACACATACAGCACAGCAATGAAGTAATAAAATGAACTAGGATCACACTAATCCAGCACGTTATTATTCCGAGTTGCCCCACTCAAGCGGTGGCCATATTGAGTGGGGCACGTGATCTCTGCTTCATCAGCTTCTTTGGGGGTCCCTAGGTGACATTAGGGGTCCTGGAGACCCCTGATGTCTCCATAAAGGGGACCTGTCTGCTATGTGATAACTTTATTGCCAAGTGGAATTTTTTTTTTTAAATTAAAGTTACCAAAAATAAATTGTAAAGTCAAATATATTTTTAAAAAAATGTTTTTTAAAAGTCGCCTGCCCCCACATACACCACAACAATGCGTCAAGTGCGCCGATGTATGAAAATGGCGATTGCGCCCATTGCGCCACACGTTACATGTCACCGTGAAAGTCAGAGTGAGGGCAATAATTTTAGGGCAATTCATCACTGATAACACTAAACTAATGAGCAGTAAAAACGTTTAAAGCGTCGCCTAAGGCCAATTTTGGGTATGGTATTTTTTTTTGCGATTTTGCGGGCGCACACAATTTTAAAGTTTGACATGTTTGGTGCCTATTTACCCGACGTGACCCCGTCTTTTATATTTTACCAAAAATATGGGCAAGAACAAATGTTTTTTAACATAACGTAGGGAAAACATTTATTTTTTCGAAGTTTAAGGTACTTTTAAAAAAAAAATTATTCTTTATTTTAAAGTTTTTGCAGGGTTCACAGAAAGGAAAACCAAATGCGTGTATGATAGGTATTTGTCCACATAGGGCCCACATCAAGAAAATACAGAAGTCGTATTACTATGCATACAAACATATAGAAAACATTAAGTTATTGAATCAGATAGGAAGAGATTATACCCCCATGCTTGGTAGGACCAGTTTCCAGGGCTTCACACAATGGGGTACATTGAGTGAGTATTAAAAGTGCTAGTAGGGGTATCCGCTAACGGTACTTTTTTCATCATATAGTAGAAAATAAAAACCCTAGTGGTGATTAAATACAAATAAAGTTCCTTCCAAAGACTCTTTGCATGGCAAGAAAATGATCCAACAGCAGATAGCAGTACAAGAAATTTGGAGCGGATGCGTCCAAGAAAACTGATGTAAACAACAAACAAACAGAAGTCTACAGTTCAACCAGATCTCTTGAAATCTTACCCTTTCCCTTTTGAGCCTTCACGAGACAGCTGGCCACTAGATCTGTACAGTTTGCTTGTAGAATCTGAGCACTGTTAATGATACTTGAATCAAACTTCTCTCCGTCTATTTCTCCTTCAGTGGCCAAGTCTGAACAATAGAGAGCCAGTGCACTGAAGAGCAGCCAAGAGTAGTTGTGAATATAAGGCTGAATAAGTCTCTGCTTGTCACTGATTTTATTTGTAACCATGGGATAGATGGTGATACTGTGACTAGGCAAATGGCTGAAAGAGGAAACAAGATGCTGAGTAAAATTCAGATAAATGAGACAGAAAAAGATAAGGATTTATTTTAAGAATTTTTAATAGGTCAGCTGTTCTGATAACGCATTTTTTCAATGTACAAACGTACAAGTTATCCAGTCTAGGAGTATACAAAGGATTGTGACTAGGAAACAAAAATTTAGCAGGCTTTTTGCATAAAGGAGGATGGAGAAATAAAGTATGTAATAGAAGACAAACAATGAACAGTCACATTAGTTCTGAAACATTATCGAAGTTTGTACATATGTTTAAAGTTTGTTGTATAATAAAAGATTATTCTTGTGTGTAAGCACTTTACTGCTGGAGTCACACCCTTCACTACATGCAGACCCTTGAAGCCAAGTGTTGTGTGTAGGAGCCAGCATGTTGCAAGGTAAGACTTATATACATCGCAGCAGCCCTCCACACATAACACACAGCTTTTTAGTGATGATTTACACACCCAGTGCAGTGTGCAGTGTGCCATTTATTCTCCAGAGTTGAGATTTAAACACGTCTGCCACACAGAACAGCATGATTCATTTGCGTGTCCTTAGCCTGATGTAATCACATTTAAGCACAATCCTACAAGTATGTTGAAGTACCTTTCAGGGTATCTCATAGCCACATAACATCCGTAGCACAGATCAAAATCATCACACACATTGCAGTTGATTCTATGACCAATAATAAGTCCTTGGCAATGATCACATGTATATTCCATGTTAACCATTTCATGATCATCTTCATGACCCTCTGGTTTTACTCCGCCTGTGAAACAAACAAGTAATGCTATTGATGTATAATATAAAATCATTATAAAACACTGTGGAGGTTCACAGAATGGGCAAATCTGCACTAGAACTTCTCTCAGACTCTCTCATTTGTATTCTCATTCTAAGGCAGATAACTCAGACTACTGAAGCCAAAGACAGCCAAACAAGTAGGGGAAAAGGTATCAAAACTGGAGCAGACAGAATCTGGAGCAGTTGCTCATGGCAACCAATCAGCTTCTCCCTTCCATTTGTTTAGTTAAGGTTTGAAAATAAAACATAGAAGCGGATTGGTTGCCATGCACAACTGCTCCAGATTCTGCCTACTCCAGCTTTGATAAACTCCCTAGATAGTATTTTTTAGAAGGAAGTGAACAATGTCAGTCCCCTTATTTATCACAGTATAGTTCTTCTGCATAGGAGTAGAGTAATAAAAAAGCACACAAAAGGAATGCTAAAAGTAACTTAAAAGAGAACTATGGGATGACTTTTTTATCCCACAGTTCTCTTAAGGGAATATATACTCCTAAAGCTCAGTATATAGCGAGCTATAGCAAGCTATATACTGAGAGTGCCACAGTCGGGACGGATCCCGACAGTTGAGATCCGCCCCACTAGCTGATTGACAGCGGGCTCTGCCTATCTAGAGGCAGAGCCAGCTGTGCCTGCCCCCTCCATTCTATCAGTCAGATCTGCAGATCGGAGAGGGGGAGGGGAATCCCTGTGGGGAGCGATGACTGACAGTCACAGCTCTCTGCAGGGAGATGATCGGAAAGTGAGCGAGCGATGGTATGTATTCGCTCACTTCCCAATCAATAGAGCCGACGTGTGACAGTTTCAATGTCACACGTCGGTTCTATGAGGTTGAGTTAAAATCACTCACCTCATAGTTCTCCTTTAACTAGAGAAGTGTTTTTCACTCATATGTCCAATTCATATAGCTCTCCACATCTGTCAAATACTGTGCTCACATCTTTTTAGCCTCGTCACCAGCAAGAAAGCTGTATAACATATCAGGTGGACAAAGGGAAGATATTCCAAATCACCATGCAGTCCAAAGAGGACAGCAGCAGGTCCATTCCTAAATTAATTTCTTTTAGCAAACAGCACAGTGCAGTACATGCCATTTAGAAAAGATTTTAAACATATTCCATTTCATATATGCTTCTCTCCTGATACTATACAGACACGATGTTAAAAGCAAAGGAAAATATGTATTTCTTACTATATAAAATAAAAGTAAAATTGTGAATTTCAATCTGCACAGCTTAGTCACAGCATGCTGTTGAGCAACATGTTACCGGAATAAATTACTGCTGCTAATTTAGCTAGCAGCAATAATCAAAGAGCTACTTACCCAGGAAGCATGTTTTACACAAATCCATGTCATTACACTGTAAACAACGGTAGCGATGCCATGGTGCAATTTTATCACAACCATCACAAGAGATTTCAACATTCAACAGGTCGCAATACCGTGCAATAAACAAATGCATCTGTAATAAAAGAAAACAGTCACATGAAGATTCTACAGCTAATACTTTCATACAATTGTCTGTAAAATACTGCAGGGAATGACCAAAGGCACAAAGCACACGTAAAATTGCCTCATATGGACAGATAGACATTATCTGGCACAGAAGTGATTTTCTCCTAGTCAAGGCAACTGTGATGTTTGTAAAGTATGCATCATTTTCCATCCTGTGCAAGGCATTTTTGAGAGAGAAACCGGGAGACCGAGAGAGAGAAGGAGAGGCCGAGAGAAGGAGAGGCCGAGAGAAGGAGAGGCGGAGAGAAGGAGAGGCCGAGAGACGGAGAGGCCGAGAGACCGAGAGAGAGAGAGACCGAGAGAGAGAGAGA